TATATAATAAACACTAATACCTCCCTCTGATGGGAGGAGAAAATAGTGCAACTGGATGTAATTAAGCTTTAGTGATTCAACACACACTATAAAAAAAACGTATTATACCGTGCATATAGCAAATTTCAATACATAACCAAACGGGTAAAGCCCATCACATGATAAAGATGAGCTGTGATTGGCCTTGTCTGTATTGTGTGACTGCTTTGATCAGTCACAACTAACAACATAATTGTATATAATGGATGGCATGTCAGGAAGCCATTCATTGTAAAAAATCCACATGTGATCTGCTGTGATTTGTCACAGCGGTCAAATAAAAAGAAAAAAAATAGTGAAGCGCTTATATCTCATAAATAAATAAAGTGCATTCAAAAAAAGAATTAATATACATAAATAAATATAAATCTGATACTCCTCTGTGACAAATCTATATAATAAACACTAATACCTCCCTCTGATGGGAGGAGAAAATAGTGCAACCGGATGTAATTAAGCTTTAGTGATTCAACACACACTATAAAAAAACTTATTATACCGTGCATATAGCAAATTTCAATACATAACCAAATGGGTAAAGCCCATCACATGATACAGATGGGCTGTGATTGGCCTTGTCTGTATTGTGTGACTGCTTTAACCAGTCACAACTAACAACATAAAAGACTTTCTATGAGTCTGAATAAGAGAGGAGGAGGAATAAGGAGTCTGCCAGAGGAGATACACCACTGAGGTGGAAACTGCTTTGGGGACCTGTGTGGGTCAAGGAGGGAAGGTGAGCAGGCATTGCTGCCATTTGGAGGAGATTATTTGCACCTAGTGGAGATCACGTGTGTTTTTCAAAAAGCACAGAGTCACATGCATGGACATTTTTTTCTTTTTCACTTATGATGTATATGAAATGTGTATGAATTAGGCACTATTTTATGTGGATAACTAATTTCATATTCACTAATTTATTCACATTTGGTTATGTATTGAAATTTGTTATATGCACGGTATAATAATTTTTTTATAGTGTGTGTTGAATCACTAAAGCTTAATTACATTCGGTTGCACTATTTTTTTCTCCCACTAGAGGGAGGTATTAGTGTTTATTATATAGATTTGTCACACAGGAGTATCAGATTTATATTTATTCATTTATATTAATTCTTTTTTGAATGCACTTTATTTATTTATTTATGAGATATAAGCGCTTCACTATTTTTTTCTTTTTGTTTGCACTTGTTGGTATTAGTTAAGTGACAGCAGCTGTATTATAGTAATCATTCCATCGAGCGCAGGAGGATCCTTTACACAGCGGTCAAATGTCACTGGCAATGGGCCGATGTAGTGATATGTTATGTTGATGCTTGACGAAACACCAGCAAACCAATCATATGCAAGTATCACACAAAATACTGTATATAGAAACGTTGGAAGCTGACATGTGTCTAGAGTTCAGTATTAATGATTTCTTGGTATCTTGAGAGGCAGCACCGGTGCTAAGATGCATTTTTTTTGGCATGAAGAAGTCACTGTATACTGAGCTTATGCTTAATATAAAATTGTAAAATCCTGGGAGTTCCAGTTGTACTACTCCTGTGTACACAAAAAAAAAAAAAAATTCTAAAAACATGAAATTAGCCCTATTGTTGCAATAAACATTTTGTAACTTGGCAACTCTTTGGGACATATGTCACTAAATATGAAAGATTACTGTAGGTGATTGCTGGAGCGGACTTCAAGCTTTGTGCAGACATCTGGAAAAAGAAGGGAGACGTACAAATGGAAGAGGGTGACATTTAATATTGCAATGATCACAAAGATTAGGCAGTTTTAGGAGATCATTCGGTGGAAAAAACGCATGTGCAACAGTTGCAAATGTCACTTTTATGCAAAATATGCTATAGTTAGTAGTAGCAGGCTGCTCACATTCAGCTGGGCTTTTTCTGTAACATTGAAGACATTTCACTTTTCCTATCAGCAGCATTAGAACAGAAGCTCCTTGGACAAGCAGTGAAACATCTTCAATGATGTATAACAAGCCCAGATGAATGCGACTACCAGTTTTGCCAGTATTACCAGCTGGTTGCAAATGTTTTAAAAAATGTTCATCTTTTTGTCCCTAGCCACTTAAGCCCCAGAGGATTTACCACCCTTAATGACCAGGCCTTTTTTTGCTGTTTGGCGCTGCACTAATTCAAATGATAATTGCGCGGTCATGCAATGCTGTACCCAAACGAAATTTACGGCCTTTTTTCACACAAATAGAGCTTTCTTTTTAGGTGGTATTTTATCACCTGTGCGCTTTTTTATTTTTTTGCGCTATAAACAAAAAAACCACAAAACTTTTGAAAAAAAAAAACAATATTTTCTACTTTCAGCTATAAAAAAATATATTGTAAACTCAAAGTTAGTCATAAATTTAAGCCAAAATGTATTCTGCTACATGTTTTTGGTAAATAAAATCCCAATAAGTGTATATTGATTGCTTTGTGTGAACGTTATAGCGTCTACAAACTATGGTATAGATACTGTAATTTATGCCTTTTTTTTGCTATACAGCGCTGCACTAATTCAAATGATAATTGCGCGGTCATGCAATGCTGTACCCAAATGAAATTTACGTCCTTTTTTTCACACAAATAGAGCTTTCTTTTGGTGGTATTTGATCACCTGTGCGCTTTTTTTTTTTGCGCTATAAACAAAAAAAAAACACGAAAATTTTGAAAAAAAAAACAATATTTTCTACTTTCAGCTATAAAAAATATATCGTAAACTCAAAGTTAGTCATAAATTTAAGCCAAAATGTATTCTGCTCCATGTTTTTGGTGGTATTTGTAAAAAAAATCCTGTGCATTAGCGGGCAAACTGGCGCTATCTAGGGGGGGGGGGGCTAACACTATCGGAAGTCACCAGTGACACTAATACAGTGAAAATCTGTTCACTGTAATCAATGACACTGGTAACAGGGCAGTGAAGGGGTTAACTGGGGGGGGGAGGGGGGCGATCAAGGGGTTAAATGGGATTTCTGGTGCACTAGCGGGCAAACTGGCGCTATCTGGGAGGTGCGCTAACACTATCGGAAGTCTCCAGCGACACTGATCAGTAAAAAAAAAATCGCTTCACTGATCAGTGACACTGGTGACAGGGCATTGAAGGGGTTAACTGGGGGGGGGGGGGGGCGATCAGGGGGTTAAATGTGACCTAGAGTGTTCTAACTGTCAGTGTGTAGTGTTTTACTCACTGTTTGGATGTCTTCCTCTCTGTCTGGAACGGAATGTGTCCAGGCAGAGAAGAATGACATCATATCCTGCCCTGTGTAAATGTCAACACAGGACAGGATAGGACAGGGACCGATCATGTGATTTCAGCCAGAAATCACTGACTGAAATCTAATGATTGATCCCTCCTGGATCGAATCGTATCACCCGCGGGTCGGCGGGAGCGCACGCGCGCCGCGCCCCCTACCCGCGAATGTGTCGGGAGCGCGGAGCACATTTTAAAACATGCTTTTGCGTGTCAGGAATGGACTGGCCAGCAATAGTGGGACTCAGCTGCCTTATGAGCTGCAGTACCAGGGCTGGCCAGCGGGTGCTCCCAGCAATCAGAGACTCAACCTTGCAGCCAGTCAAACACCTGGAACTAATTATACTGGTGTATTTATAAGGGACATTCAGACCTGCAGACTCTGCCTTGGTGTTGTGTTTCTCTTGGGCCCTGTATCCTGTTCCTGCTCTCTGTTCCTGTCTGATTCTCTGCTGACCCTGCTCTGATCCCTGGCTTGTCTGACCATTCTCCTCTGCCTGACCCTCTGTACCACGCTGCCCGCTACCTGCTGAACCTGGCCTGTGACCCCGACCATTCTCCGCTTGCTCCCCCTGTACCTACCTGCCCGACTGATATTGACCCGGCCTGCCTGATGACGCTTGCATTGTATGTACTGTCAATCTGTGGGTGGTTTGGTTTGGTTTGGTTTGTTTGCACTGTGTTATGTTTTAGTATTGCACTGCGTTTATGTTTGTATGGTTAGTGTTAATAAATTACATTGTTTATAACATATCTGAAGTCTGCGTTTCCCTGCGTCAGCCACACACACCTCTGGTCATACCCGGGAGCCCTGACATTACACCAAGGCCAATCCTGACCAGAAGTGGCTGCACAGGGAAGCCATCTTGGCTTGTTGATGGGAAGGATGGATCTGGATGAGGTTGTGTATTTATATCTGCTAGTGTTTGATGACAGGGAGTATGCTTATCAAACTCTGAAGGAGTATACCCGGGATGAACTGCTAGAATGTATACGGCTCGCTCATGTTTCTAGTAGATCAGGGCACAGAGTTCTCTGAGGTGCAGCCTTTGATTGAGGTTTGTGCTGAGTTGGTTTCATCTGTACCCCGAATGCAGGGATGAATTTTTGCCACCATTTAGTGCAGACCAGTAGAGTCCCTGGTGTGGTTATTAGAGGATGATGTGGGTTACTTTCTGGAGCGTTATTCCACATGTTCACCACAGACACTAAGAGATTGTATAAACGCAGTGCAGTCATTGACCAGACAGGCTTTGTGTAAACTGAGCTTTGTTCAACCCATACTGCAGACATGGACAGATTTGTTGCACCCAGCCTCAGTCAGCCTACAAAGACCCAGTCCTGCTTCTAATCTATTTCCTCAAAACTCTATTCCTGCATTCCCAACAGCTCCTCCTGCCCTGCTATCTCTACCGCATGTCAGTACCCTGTTCCCACTCGCTGCACCTATCCTGCCTTTAACCCTGTAAAAAAGCCCTCTGTAGCAACTGCTCCCTCTCCTGTTCCATCCTCCAGTTCTTCTCTGTCTCCAGCTGCTCCATTCGTTTGCAGACCTGCGTTACTTGCAGTGCTCCAGTAGTTAAAACCAGAAAAAAGCGAAAATTCTTTCCAACCAATACCATCCTGCCAGTATCCAAACCGGTGAACCTGCCTTCCGTAGTTCAGCCTGAATCCTCTACTCAGCCTGAATCCTCTACTCGGCCTGATGCCTGTACTCGCCTGATGCCTCTACTCAGCCTGAATCCTCTACTCGGCCTGATGCCTGTACGCGGCCTGATGCCTGTACGCGGCCTGAAGCCTCTACTCGGCCTGAAGCCTCTACTCGGCCTGAAGCCTCTACTCAGCCGGACGCCGGCATTCAGCCTGATGCCTCTACCCAGCATGATGAACTGATCCAGCCTGACGATCCTATTAGGCCAGTTGACTCGATGCCCGCTGTTGATCCAGATGATCCGGTACCTGATCCGGTGGCCCGCTGTCGTGCCAATTGACTCGGAGCCCGCTGTCGTACCTGGTGACTCGGTGCCCACTGCCTTGCCAGATGACGCGGTGCCCGCTGGCAAGCCAAATGACCTGATGCCTGGTGACCCAGTGCCCGCTGTCATACCTGGTGACCCGATGCCCGCTGTCGAGCCAGACGATCCTATGCCTGGTGACCCGGTGCCCACTGCCTTGCCAGATGACGCGGTGCCCGCTGGCAAGCCAAATGACCTGATGCCTGGTGACCCAGTGCCCGCTGTCATACCTGGTGACCCGATGCCCGCTGTCGAGCCAGACAATCCGGTACCTGATGACCCGGTGCCCACTGTCGTGCCTGTTGACTCGGAGCCCACTGCCTTGCCAGATGACACGGTGCCCGCTGTCGAGCCAAATGACCTGATGCCTGGTGACCCGATGCCCGCTGTCCAGCCAGACGATCCAATGTCTGACCCAGTGCCAGCGGTCATGCCAGTTGACTCGGAGCCCACTGTCGTGCCTGGTGACTCGGTGCCCCCGCTTTCGCCTGGGGGCCCGAGACCTGTCGCTCCGCCTGGGGGTCCGGTGGTCGAGCCCGCCCGCTCCGCCTGGGGGTCTGGCGCCCGCCCGCCCCGCCTGGGGGCCCGAGACCTGTCGCTTCGCCTGAGGGCCCGAGACCTGTCGCTCCACCTGGGGGTCCGGCGCCCGCACGCTCCGCCTGAGGGCCCGAGACCTGTCGCTCCGCCTAGGGGTCCGGCGCCCGCCGCTCCGCCTGAGGGCCCGAGACCTGTCGCTCAGCCGCCTGGGGGTCCCGGCGCCCGCCGCTCCCGCCTGAGGGCCCGAGACCTGTTGCTCCGCCTGAGGGCCCGAGACCTGTCGCTCCGCCTGGGGGTCCGGCGCCCGCTGCTCCGCCTGAGGGCCCGAGACCTGTCGCTCCCGCCTGGGGTCCGGCGCCCGCCGCTCCGCCTAAGGGCCCGAGACCTGTCGCTCCGCCTGGGGGTCCGGCGCCCGCCGCTCCGCCTGAGGGCCCGAGACCTGTCGCCCGCTCCGCCTGGGGGTCCGGCGCCCGCCGCTCCGCCTGAGGGCCCGAGACCTGTTGCTCCGCCTGGGGGCCCCGAGACCTGTCGCTCCACCTGGGGGTCCGGCGCCCGCCGCCGAGATCCGCCTGAGGGCCCAAGACCTGTCGCCCCGCCTGGGGTCCGTCCGCTCCGCCGCTCCGCCTGAGGGCCCGAGACCCTGTTTACTCTCCGCCTGGGGGCCCGAGACCTGTCGCTCCGCCTGGGGGCCCGAGACCTGTCGCTCCGCCTGGGGGCCCGGCGCCCGCCGCTCCGCCTGAGGGCCCGAGACCTGTCGCTCCGCCTGGGGGCCCGAGACCTGTCGCTCCGCCTGGGGGTCCGGTGCCCGCCGCTCCGCCTGAGGGCCCGAGACCTGTCGCTCCGCCTGGGGGTCCGGCGCCCGCCGCTCCGCCTGAGGGCCCGAGACCTGTCGCTCCGCCTGGGGGCCCGGCGCCCCCGCTCCGCCTGAGGGCCCGAGACCTGTCGCTCCCACCTGGGGGTCCGGCGCCCGCCGCTCCGCCTGAGGGCCCGAGACCTGTCGCTCCACCTGGGGGTCCGGTGCCCCCGCCGCTCCGCTTGAGGGCCCGAGACCTGTCGCTCCATCTGGGGGTCCGGCGCCCCGCCAGACTCCGCCTGGGGGCCCGATGCCTGTTGTCCCACCTGGGGGCCCGATGCCTGTTGCCCCGCCTGGGGGCCCGATGCCTGTCGCCCCTCCTGGGGGCCCGGCGCCTGTCGCCCCGCCTGGGGGCCCGACGCCTGTCGCCCGCCTGGGGGGCCCGCTGCCTGCTGCTTCGCCTGGTAATCTGATGTGCCTCTGCCCAGAGTCCGGCCCGATGTGCCTCTGCCCGGAGTCCCAGCCCTTGGGTGTTGCCTCTGCCCGGTGTGCCTCTGGCCCGGTGTGCCTCTGCCCGGAAGTCCAGCCCGATGTGCCTCTGCCCGGAGTCCTGCCCGATGTGCCTCTGCCCGGAGTCCTGCCTGGTGTGCCTCTGCCCGGAGTCCTGCCCGGGTGTGCCTCTGCCCGGAGTCCTGCCCGGTGTGCCTCTGCCCGGAGTCCAGCCCGGTGTGCCTCTGCCCGGTGTGCCTCTGCCCGGTGTGCCTCTGCCCGGAGTCCAGCCCGATGTGCCTCTGCCCGGAGTCCAGCCCGATGTGCCTCTGCCCGGAGTCCAGCCCGATATGTGCCTCTGCCCGGAGTCCAGCCCGATGTGCCTCTTGCCCGGAGTCCAGCCCGATGTGTCTCTGCCCAGAGTCCAGCCCGATGTGCCTCTGCCCGGTGTGCCGCTGCCCGGAGTGCCTCTGCCCGGAGTCCAGCCCGATGTGCCTCTGCCCGGAGTCCAGCCCGATGTGCCTCTGCCCGGAAGTCCTGCCCGGTGTGCCAGTCTTTGATATCCCGCCAGTTACCAGACCGGGCGGTGGAACATTTTGCCCAGCTAGGACTGTTTGGAGCGTCCTGAGGCCGCTCCTTGAGGGGGGGGGGTACTGTCAGGAATGGACTGGCCAGCAATAGTGGGACTCAGCTGCCTTATGAGCTGCAGTACCAGGGCTGGCCAGCGGGTGCTCCCAGCAATCAGAGACTCAACCTTGCAGCCAGTCAAACACCTGGAACTAATTATACTGGTGTATTTAAGGGACATTCAGACCTGCAGACTCTGCCTTGGTGTTGTGTTTCTCTTGGGCCCTGTATCCTGTTCCTGCTCTCTGTTCCTGTCTGATTCTCTGCTGACCCTGCTCTGATCCCTGGCTTGTCTGACCATTCTCCTCTGCCTGACCCTCTGTACCACGCTGCCCGCTACCTGCTGAACCTGGCCTGTGACCCCGACCATTCTCCGCTTGCTCCCCCTGTACCTACCTGCCCGACTGATATTGACCCGGCCTGCCTGATGACGCTTGCATTGTATGTACTGTCATCTGTGGGTGGTTTGGTTTGGTTTGTTTGCACTGTGTTATGTTTTAGTATTGCACTGCGTTTATGTTTGTATGGTTAGTGTTAATAAATTACATTGTTTATAACATATCTGAAGTCTGCGTTTCCCTGCGTCAGCCACACACCTCTGGTCATACCCGGGAGCCCTGACATTGCGCTCCACTGCCGCCCTGCACACGTATATACACAGTGGCAGGGCGGCAAGCGGCTAGTGTTAACTTTATCTCTCAAGATACTACACATATTAATTTTTACATGATTGACAATCAAATAATTACAGTTAATTATCTGAAGTATGTAGCAACATTCTGAGGAACAGTATTTTCTAATTTAGAGTTACAGAAAGGTCTACAAATCACTAAACCATTACTGGTCCAGGACAGTAGTCCTTCCAGTCTTACAGGGTCAGAGATAGGTCACATACCTGGGTAATTATCAAGGTAGCAAAATGCATTTGACCCTAAATTCCAATACAACCAAATGTATGTTGGGTTTAGCTATTTGAAAAGACCATCCAAGCTTTTGTGTGTCCTTTGAAGGAGTGCTTTTACATCCTGAAGTAAGAAGAGGCCCAGATCATCCTCCCTCCTGCAACATTACCAGGGACAAAAAGTATGCATAGACCCTGAGTGTTAAAAGTACACCTAATTCAAGCTTTGGCCATTGCAGGAGGCAAAAACAGATGACCTAGACTGATAAATGTATATGTGGTATCAGTCGCTTAACCTACAGTATATCATAGAAATATGTAGTACGGAGATGTCTTGACTGTGACAGAAATATTATCTTAAGACTGACTGTCTATGTCAAGACAATACCACGTTTTTTCTTGTCGTCTACTTTAAAAAACCGCTTTCCCTCCGCTCTATAGTAAAACTACTGCTACAGGGCAGCAGGGCTGCACAAAACCACATATATATACGTGATTTGCACCTCTGGGTAGGGGGCGCGCATGCCACCCTACCCGTGGTGCCACTGGCGGCTAGGGATGTCAATCACTGGGTCCCAGGTGGAGATTCCCCACCAGCACCCGGCGATCAACTGGGAAAGCTGACAGGGGAGAGACCTGTGTGCAAACACAGGTTTCTCTCCTGCCAGCAAGAGAAATACATAGCAGCATATTTCCCTAGTAAAACACACAGCACATAATGTAAAGCGGCACACAGTTAACCCTTTGATCGCCCCAGATGTTAACCCCTTCCTGCCCAGTGTCATTAGTACAGTGTCAGTGCTTTTTGTTAGCACTGTTCACTGTATAAGTTGCATTAGGATGTCAGTTGCAGCTAGTCAGTTACCACCAGGGGCGAAATGACCATTTGGAAACTCGGCACTGCCCGAGGACCCAGGGTCAGTAGGGGGCCCCATGAGATGCCCCTGGTACCTTTTTCATAGGCTTTTTTGAGTTTGGGCAAGGACACAGGGGCCCCTTGATCCCCTATTGCCCGGGGGCCCCATGAGTTGTCAGTCTGCCCCTGGTTACCACCCAGTGTCAGAATGCCTGCCGCAGTCCCGCAATCCTGCTATAAGTCGCTGATTGCTACCACTACTAGTATAGATTAAAAAAAAAAGTAAATATACCGCCATTTGTAGATGCTATAACTTTCACGTAAACCAATTAATTATTCATGTATTGTTTTTTTTTTTTTTTTTATCAAAGACATGTAGCAGAATACATTTGGCCTAAAGTTATGATGATGTTGAAAGTTGATTTTTTTTTTACTGGATATATGGTTTATAGCAAAAAGTAAAAAATACTGTTTTTTTTTTCAAAATTGTCAGTCTTTTTTTGTTTATAGCGCAAAAAATAAAAACGCAGAGGTGATCAAATACCACTGAAAGAAAGCTCTATTTGTGGGAAAAAAAAGGATAAAAATGTAATTTATGTACAGTGTTGCATGACCGCACAATCATCAATTAAAGTAACGCAGCGCCGTATCACAAAAAATGGCCTGGTCCGAAAGGGGGATAAATCCTTTGGAGGGCAAAACAAAAAAACAAAAAGAGCTCCTATCTCACCTGTTGAATTGGAATTCCAGTCTAGCATGCGTCAACACGCAAACCAGCGCAGAGGGTGTGCATGAAATTCAGATATCATTCCACGTATGTCTAAGGACATTTTCAGCATACCGGTAATTAAGGATAACTGGTATGATTGGTGTTGGTGTGGGGTGATCTAGTTCTTCCAAGCAAACACTGACAGATGGATGAAGACCAATTTGGCACTGGGACAGCATTGAAGATGCCACATGTCAGTTGTCCAGCGCACACAGAGAACGTGTTTGACCTGTATTCAAGAAGAGCTAGTTATGGACTACTAGTTTAAAAAAGGAGTCTCTTTTTAACTTGTCCATAGGGATGAAAGAATTGTTGGAAACATTCTTTGTGGGGTAATATTGATTTTTGCAGCTAGAACTCTGTCCAACAACAGAAGTGCTGGGAAGCCATGCTGGCTCAGACTTCCTTTGACTTTCCCACTGTAGCACCATCCTAGATAAGTGCTAGGATTTGTATAGTTAGGTTAGCATGTTACTAAACCCACAACAGTAAAATCAGTTTGGGTATGCAGAAAAGCATGTTTGTTATACACACTGTGAATCCACACTGTAATCCTCTGCATTCTGTAAAAAGGCTGTTTAATCCTGATTTCTATGATCCTCCCCTTCCTCTACTGCCCCCCTCTTATCTCCTTGTAAGACATATCATGTGGAGTCACTTTGCACATGCTCAGTGTGGTGTGTATTACTAGAGAGGTTTTTTTTTTTTGTCTTTGGAGAATGCATGTGATCAGCACAGGGCCATTCAGCACTGTCCAGACTGAGGTTAGGGGGTCTGCATCCTCCTAGAGCAAAATGAAAACTCCTACAAGCTTTAAGCAGTGCTCTGCTGGACACTGATAAAAGTCACAAGACTGCTCTAACTGCTGATGAGGAAAGGTATTTAGCAGTTTATATTTACTAAAACATTTGCACCTCCATGTTCTGTGTACTGTTTTAGACCAGATATAGGGAATGCAGGGTCCTGGGTTTAGGAACACTTTAAGTATAGCTGTGTTTCTCTGAGTGCTGTGATTGATTAGTTAGGTCTGCTCATGATGCTCTGGTACTGTTTCAGTTTGTCTGAATTCTGCCCGCCTTCATGAATCTAGAAGAGCCTTCCAGAACCTGGGAGGGAACTAGGTAGCATGAATATGGATACAGCCCTGGCCAATTGCAGGCAAGGGCAGGCTCCATTGAATGCTGGGAGTGGTATTTATGTTCTGTGAGCAGATATGTTTTGTGTCTTTCCCGGGAGAGGGATTGAACCAAGCCAGGTTGGAGGCAGACTTACATCACCTGGCACTGGCTGCCATGTGTGTGTGTATCTGGCTGTGGAAAATACCTTGTGCTTGGCTGCGGGGTGAAGACATGGGAAAAAAAATACAAGCGGCCTTCAAAGAGGGTGGCGCTACAACACCATTTCTACACTTGACAATATACTAGAAAAGGAAAAGAAATTGAAAAGATGAAAATGCTGAAGGAAGCTTGTGGAAGGAGTGGCATAGCTGGTGGGGCATTACAGCAGGAGGAGTAGTGGATGGGTAACAGAACAGATAAAGGTAGTAACTGTGAATAATGGCGTCTTCCTCCAGGAATAAATCAATCCATGTACAGTATGTACAAAATCAAATAACATTGTTGACTTTTATGTCCAGATTGCACATAGGCCATGGCCTAGGACACCAGGGTTGGCACTCAGCTACAGCATATTAAAATCTAGCTCTCATACATTTTTACTGCCTGCCTTCCACTCTTCACTCCATAAGCTTCCCTAGCAAACATTGACAGTACATAACATTGCTTCTGGCTTCATCTGCCCCCAGCGATACAGGACATTATACATTAGACATCTGCATGCTGGTAATTTTTGTTTCATTTTGGATGCATCCATTCATTGAAGCATTTAGTATCCTCATATTCGTTATGTCGAACTAATTTATTTTTGGAATTTGTTCTGTATCTTCGACATTTGTTTCCTATATTTGTTGGTCGGGGGGGATTTGAAAAACTTTTTCTGGAAGATTGCTATATATATCTATAGTCCAACCCACCAAGAGAAATGACTTGAGCTGATTGGACAATATCGAC